TGCCTCCATTAGGGTTGTTTGCCTTGATCTGTGCCATAGCAGCGGCTACTACTGACATTACAGCAGCTTGAAATGTAGCAGAGTCCATTTGCAGGAGTGGTGTCTCGCGGGTGCGCTTGTTATTTTTGTGGGATGGCATTTTTTCCTGATGCACGTTGATAATCCAGATCGTAAGTAATGATCATCATTCCTGATTGTACTCTATAAGTTTTGCATCTTGTTGTATAATTCTTACTGCCTCCATCTACATCCCTATGATGTATCTGCGGTAGTAGGTAATCACAGATTTGGCACGATTGTTACATCTATCCTTAGATTATATGGGTTGTTTTAGTTTCGGGATCCTTAAGTATCTAGTGGTTTCGAGGGTTCTCTTGTGCATAGAATTGAGTCTTTGCAGTAATATGAAATCAATATAGCACATAATTATTTCAGGGGTAAGTACCATCTCAGTACACGAAAGGGAGTCATGTCGGATAGTAGGGGAAAAAGAAAAGGCTGATCCTAATCGTGGCAGGAAGTGTCTGGTGGTGGTGCTGATGAAGTGGATGCACCTCGGAGACGAGCTACTTGTTGTTCGGTAGCTTGTAATTGTACTTCCAAACTAACAGTCTCGCTCGAGAGTCTCCATTCACCTCCTATGTTTGCCTCTCATCTTTCTCAATAGCAAACCACATTTGTTTTGTTCGGTTAGGGGTGTCCTGAGCTTGGCTATCCCCACCTCAGGTGCCCTGGACCACTACTGGGAGGCCCCGGTCAGCTGGTCCTCTATGGCTAATGGTCAGAGAGACCTCGGTTCCTACCCTGGTGTGGTCGTACCCCCTGCTGGCGACTCTATCTCCAATTATCGTGTGCCTAAGGGGGCATGGGGCCACCGGGGCCCACACGATATGTCGGTACTCTGGCTTTACATGAAGGATTGAGGTCATCGGATTCTACATCCGAGTCATCATCATCATTGCCCTCTGGCTCTTCCCCTTCGAGATCCACTTACTGACTCGGCGGATTCGCCTGCGAGTTCTACTTCGTGTTCCTCCTGGGGTTCTTCCTCTGGGTCGAGCCACCCGACTATTCCTTGACTAGGGAGATAGGGTTTCTTGGCTAATGATACTCGTCTACAGCGTATTGCACGAAGGACTATGAATACTAAAATCAAATAGCATACCAATTACTACTATAATCCTACAACTATTGCATAGATTTAGTTGGGGTTCCCTTCTTGGAGATTAAGGGGTATGATTTTAGACTCCCTAGCTATCATGATTTCTTCAAGACATGTGATGGTTGTACCTTGGAGGGAATGTAGTTGATCAGGCTACATCTGCTCCTTGATACAACTAAGAACAGTCCTGGATCAACCGAGATACTAGCATTATCTTGTTTGGTTCAGTGTTAGGTTCTCGTTCTTAATACAAGCAAGGGTGTTTTATTGTTATGTTTTACTTGTTTTGTTCAGAGTTATGTTAGTCCCTCTTTTTGGTTTATAGTTGCATATCAATGTATGGTTAGATATGCTAGTTCACTATAAACAGAGCTCTGATACCAACCTGTCACACCCCCGAACCAGATGGCGGAAACCTCCGGGGGCTGTTGTGACTCAATTGAATACCATCACAATGAATATACATGAAACATAACATCATACATCACCAAGCATTGGAATAATACAACTGGTAGCGTTTACATTTAGTACATTGTTCCCTAACATTACTTGCCCAAAAAGTAGATTGTTCGGTGCTAATTAAACAAGCAGCAAAATGTCACTGAGTACACTTATCCCTTCGATTTATCTGTTACCTGAGAATACAAGTATTTTGAAAAACGTCAACATATGAAATGTTGGTGAGTTCATAAGTAATGTTTGAAATCCAATGTTTGTATTGTTTCGAAAACCACCAGAAAATCCGATATTTTCTGAAAATAGTATAGCGTAAAAAAAAAGTGTGAAGATCCGTGAGTATGCTTGTTTGTTTTCTATAGATGTAAGCGTACGAGTTGTAAAATTCGTCATGTAATTCGTAAGTGTAATAGTTGAAAACCCTAGGAAAACCCGACGTTTTCCTATCACTTTGCTTTACTTAGTTTGTGTATTGTTATTTCGTTACGTTAGAGGTATTCGTTGAGCTCCGGAGGCATTGAGTATACAGTGGGTGGTGAATTTTTGTAAAGTCCGTTACTGAAAACGTACAGTCGACAACCGTACCAGCGATCCCTTGGGCGTCACTCGCACTTATTCACACAACTCAATCCTCCCGGACTTGTGTAGTCCCACGACCGGAGAGAAAAAGTGAAGGTGCGAAACCCTCGGTATTTCCCTGCGTCGTTCAAGACCAATGCAATTGTGAAGGGCCCGAAGCCCAACCCGCACTCGTGAGTTACCGACTTTACAAGCAGCATTGAAGGACCCTTGGGGACCAGTAGCATGTTTTCCATTGAAAGTCCTTTTACACGCGGTCGAGTCGCATTAGACCCAACTACATGTAAGCAAGTGTCCTTTGGGCCTAAAGATCATGTCATCGGGCTGGCTAGGCTCGACAAGCATGATTTGCAACTTTTGGGCCTAAGGAGTGTATGTCGACGTATTGAGTAATTCCACGAGAGTAAAGAGTTCCAAGAGTTTCATATGTGTATTGAGCGTTATAGTGTTAGTAGTTTTGGATTTGTTATTGATTCGAGACCGAATCAATTCGTTTGATAACGATTGTTGGTGATATTGTGTATTGTAATTTATCGAGAGTCGTAGTGTCAATCTTTGTTCACAACGAGTGTATTGAATTACCCTTGAAATTTTTTTGTTTACAACCCCTCTTAATTTTGTAAATTTACTTTTTCACCCCTTTAGGTAAAATAATTTCCGGTTTAGTCCTTAAACCATTTTTCTTGACATTTTAACACCAAAAATTATTGAAATTAATATTTTTCAGCATATTTTTCATTTAAAACAGTTTAAGTCCCTGAAATTGCAGTTTTCTCGGTTATAACCCCTCTTTTTCTCAATTTTTACATTTTTGGCCCAATTTGGAAAATTTTTGCAACTTTGGTCCTTTTTAAATTTGAAAAGCGTTTTAAACCTTTGGAAAGCACATGTAACACTAATAGTCCATTGTTTTACAGGAAAACACAGTTTTGGCCCTCCAAAACAGAAAATTTCGCATAATGGGCCCTATTGGGCCGAAATTGTCATTTTTAGCCCATTAAGCTTGAAATTTATGTTTTTGATCTTCCAAAAGAGTATATTTTCAGAAAATACATTATGGAATCTGTTTTGACTCATCTCACCCATCAGATTTCGAAATATTTCATTTTGGGCCCTTTAACTTTGTATTTTTAACATTTATGTCAAAAAAATGAGTTTTTAGCCCAAAGTATGTATTGTTAAGCCACTTAGCTATTTTTCTTGGTATACTTTGTATGTAGTAGTATATTTCATGCTAGTATAAGATATATCTCGGTTTTTAGCAATTCATAACTAGATCTAGCATCAAAATCATACAAAACATACATATAAGCATAGAAATCAACCAAAACATACACATAATGATGGATCTACACCTTTACTTGTATTCTCCCCCACAAAAACTTATAAAAACCGAAAATAAGGGGGTATGAAGCTCACCTTGTTTGAATATTTCGGTTTTTGATGAAGAATTGAAGAGATTTTTGGGTCTTAGCACACCTTTGTTGTAGATCTCGAGTTTTATGAAGCTTCTAAGGTGTGATCATGGAATAAAACCTTGTGAGAAGGAGTTTTTCATGTTAAGATGAAAGAAGATACTTTTGTTTGACAATAACTTACCAAGTTAGAGAAAAACTTGCAATGATCCTCTTGATTCACACTTGTATTACTCGAAAATTTGAAGGGAAAACGTGAGTAAATTTCCTTGAGTTTGAGAGTAAAATGGAAGAGATCTTTGAAAGTTAAATGATGGTGGTGGTGGCCGAGAGTATGAAGAATAGGGAAAGGAGAAGATTATGTTGAAGTGTGGTAGCATGGAAGCATGGGATTTATTGTTACATGGTGGGTAATGTGCCTAGAAATCCTATAGTCCATAATGAGGTGTCTTTGTATGAATTAGTTAGATTTTTTTTTTATAATAGTTGGGCCGAGAATGGGCTTGACAAAATGATAGAATGGTTTTGGGCTCCTTTCTTGACTTGGTTCGAAGTTATGAAGCCCAAAAAAGATATTCGACCCATTGGGCCCTTAAGTGTGTTCACGGCCCAATGTAGATCAAAGGGAGGAATTACCAGCCCAATAAGATCCAATAAAGAATTCATAGTCCATAACTAATTTGAACATGAATTTCTAGGGCTTCCAACCCTTAGTTGAACATATGAGATGTATTTTGAACGAGGATAGAGTATTGTATTCACTTAGAGTACATGCTTTTACAATGGATGATGTTTATATGAGAATAGAATTTCCTAGCTAAAAATGCTAGTTGTGACAAGTTTCTCTTTTGTTCTCTGTGAATGGTGATCCACCTTTATCTCTTGTGAATGATCCCGCTTCAGTAGATTTTGTTGGCTCTTTGTACAAAACATTGTCAAGGAGTGGATTGTTGATTCACTATCCTATGCTCCATGCACCACCCAAGGTCTTCTTCAGGTTTGTGACGTTCATGACCATATTACACTAATATTCTAGACTGAATAAGCCTTTTAAATGAGACTTAATGACCATATTACCCTTGTATTCCAAAAAAACAAATTTCACATTATTCATCAATTTTAAATTGAACTCGTTAAGTCATTCTGTCCAGTTTAAGTAAAAAAAGAAACAACCCTATTGTCTCAGAAGGTTCACTGTGTAGTTTATTAAGTCTAACAAACCGACTGTGTCCAAACATAAACATTTCAAGAGAAACTTTTTAAAGAAAAAACATGGCAAAAAGCACAGACCACTACAAACATTGTTTCTCTTTTATCTGAAATAAAAATAGGAATATGGAAAACGGATTGTTGGAAGCGTAAAAAAACTGCCAACATTCTTGCAGTAAATGGCATCTGCAGCTGTTGCATCAGGTGAAAAGTTGAAGTCAACAAAGGTGTTTAATAGTTTTTGTGTTTTATTGCGTTTTACTTTACAGGAGATGATAGTTGCTTCCGAAAATGCCCCTTTAAAGGTAAGTAATTGAAATCTCATGCATATATTGTCTATATATAAGTATCTGATCCTCCTTTCTCTCTCTCTCTCTCTCTCTCTATATATATATATATATATATATATATATATATATATATCTATTTTACTTATGCAGACTTCAAAAGAGAAGCTTTTCTTATATGACATTGTTGCAAATGGTCGAAATGGTATAGATGTTGATTAAACATAATTTAGAAAATCAACTTTTATATTATTTTTTCTGTTTTGCAGATTTGATTACATTATTCGTGACTCTCAAGCTTGTGGTCTTGGGTGTAACTTTCAGTTTGAAAGGTAAAAAAAAAAAAGTGGTTTATGGATTTTGGCAGAATCAGGTGGAATTGGAATTTGAGATTCCATTCCATAGTGTCTTTGGTCGCAGATCCTTGAAGAACGATAGCTCTGAACAGGTATAAGTTTGAACCATTTACAGTTATATGTCTGATTCCTCTTAATGACATTGATTTGTTGCTCACTTAGTATCAATTACATATTTTTATCTTGTATTTGTATATATATTCTTCTATTTAACTTTTTTACTAAGATGGGTGCGTGCTAATTTGCTATCAGATCTATGTCTTCTCTGGTATGCTAGCCAACTTCAGGAAGATCACCTTATCAACCAAGTCTTTTCAAGATTTGGTGATATTAGGCCTAAGCACAGACAATATCAGAAACCTACTGATTTTGGTGAGTTTTTATTACAATTTAGTTAATTTATTCACATAATTTTGATCATTTTTTTATTTTAATTTGTTATATTAGAGCTTGAAATGATGAAAGAAAGATTTTCAAATCTTTTTTTGGATAGTAGGGAAAAAATTTACTACATATAAGAAGCTTATGGCTTGATCATATCAGAGAAAGAGGAAGCAGATGAAATTCAAGGTACTTTTCATCAATCATTTTACTGTTTGAATAAGTTCTTAACCTGAACTCTTATTGTTCATCATTTTAACTTATTTTTTATTTGATTTCATAATGCATCACAGTGTCTTTAATTCTTATCTGGTTGGCTTGGTGTATGGATGCTTCATAAAGGATTATGCATTTGTATGGGTTGTATGATCTTTTCCTTAAATGTTGATGGAAACCTTCAAGGAAAGAACAAAGAAGTCTTCAATATCCTGGTGCTTGTTGTATAGATCTTTCATTGAACTTTTTTTTATAACTCATTTGAAATCTTCTATATCCACATGGTTTTGGTGGCAGCAGCAAGGGCGAAGATGTTACCCCATAAAATTTCCCATGAATATCTCTTTAATTGTACTTCCCATAAAGTCATGTATATATAGATTATAGAATCACTTTTTTAATGTTTTGCAGCCTGACACTGTTACCGATGATATCAACTTGTCACTTTTTTATATAAAATGATACTTATCATAATTATATCATATTTTTTTGGTTCTTTGAAGGGTGATTGTACAGGAACTAGTATGTTAAAATTTGGTTACCAGGTAATTTCAACCTCATATTTTACCTCATTACAGGATTTGTAGGTTTATGTGAATCTAATGGTTGCATTATTCAAATTTGTATGTCTTGTTGATGTGCATAGTGTCAAGCAAAGTCGCTCGGATGTTGTGAAGGTGGGCAACAAGTTCTTGTAGTTCTAAGTATTATTTGTTGATGACTTTCATCTCTTTACATTTGATGTATTACATTTGTCTACTATTGGAATGATTATTTGTATGACATTAACTTTTATGCAATGGATTGTATTTTTTTGTATATGGTATTTTATTTTTTATTATGAGACATGAAATGCAAATTTAATTTGAAAATTAGTAAACCTATAAATATATTTTTTTTAAAAAAATTAAAATTACGATACACGAAAATGTGTGTCATCTTCATTTATGACATGGCCTTTCTTGACAGTGGCATTAATGATACGTATTGCGTGTCATAAATGCGCGTCGTCTATAGACGATGCGCAAAAGCATGTCGCCTTCCTTGACATGCATTTGCGCGTCTCTGAGCGTTTTACGACATGCATTGTGCGTCGTAAAAGGCTGTTTTTCTAGTAGTGTGGTTTTCTTGGCTAAATCTATGGGATGAGTCTTTTGTTCAAACACAAAGAATTATGTGGATTAAAATTATTGGCATGCTGGTCCATCTTTTGGATTCTTCCTTCTTTGATGTGGTGGCTAGGAATTTTGGTAGTATTCTGATCTTGTTTGATTGCTCAAAGGAGGCATTGAATTTATCGTTTAGAAGAGTGTGTATTTTAGCTAGACATGATCATATCATCAATCCGAGGTTTCTTGAAGAAAAAAGCCATTTTTTGTTTGGCTACAGGAGGATGGTGACGAATGGTCGCCCCTTTCTATTTCTGTTGACTCAGATTCTGAGTCTGAATCTGATGATGATTTCAATATTATGGCTGATTGGATTTTCATGGAAGATGAGATTAATAATCTTGAAGAGAATGGTGTCAACATCTCTGATAGAGAAAAGTCTGATCAATTCTTGCAGATTTCGGTATTAGAATAATATGGTTGTTGTTGATGAATCTATGGTTGGTTGTGGTGGGTTGGAAGATGGTGAGGCTGCACGGAGTGGAGGGGTGAAAGATGTGTGGGAACTAATGTGTCAACCCCTAGACGTGTGAACACCGCCCCCACCTCTGGTGGGTTCGGTGTGGCGTGACATGGGAGACGGAACAAGACATGAGATTTGATTGGATATGCTTATTTTAACCGTTGCATGTGAACATTGAATAAAAAAATAAATTAATTATTTAATTACTCCACCTCTATATATATCACTCTTTTCTTTCATTTTAAACACATACATTTTTTCACATACAAACACATATATTCAACAAAAAAATTTCCTTTCTCAAATATTCTTATGGATCCAAACCAAAATACTTCACCCACCCCGAACACCCCAAACACTCCAAATTATCCGTTAGTGAATATTGGCTATATGCAATTGTTATCATCCCCCATTCAACAACAACATCTATTTACTGATCTTTCATACCACCCGCACTACTACCAACAATAGCAACCACCACAATTTGTTCAACCCCAATTTCAAGCCTTTCAATAACAACCTTCTTCGCAATTTCAATCCCAAACTTCCTAACGTCAACAAACTTCACAACCATCTCAAGTTCCATTATCTCAATCTCAACCCGTAAACCTCAACAATGACGACGATGACGAACAGGTTGAAGAAGCACAACCAAGTCGTAGAAGGCAAAAAAAAATCAAAAGATCTTAAGAAAAAGAAAAATATGCAATAGACCGAGGAAGAGGAGGAAACTTTAGCTAAAACTTGGATGTTCATATCACAAGATGGAGATGTCGGCAACGCGCAATCGGGTCAAAGCTTTTGGAATCATTTTTTAGACCATTTCCACACGTTATTAGGAAGGCAAACCAGCCAGACATACGATACGATCAATACTAAATGGCGTGACCATCGAGCGGCTTGCACCAAATTTAACGGTGTATTTGACAATCTTAAAAATATGCATCGAAGTGGTAGTGATAAATTAATGTTTATTATTCTGACTTAGTCCATAGTTGTTTGTTGTACATTGACTTAGGTCCCGTTTGATAGACATCTTTCCAGGTCCAAACAAATCTTTCTGGACCAGAAACATTGTTTGATTTGCACAAAAAAATAGTTTTTCCCTGAAGATATGTCTTTCCTAGAAAGCCCCAAAATCATATCTTTCTGGTTGAATGAGCTGGAAAGACAATTATGCACCAAACACGCCTCCTTCTTTCTTTCTTGGATTATTATTTTTTTTAATTTTATTTTTTATTGAATTATTACTTTTTTCATCATTCACCAAACACACCTCTTACTTTTTTTCTTGGATTATTATTTTTTTTTAAGTTATTTTTTATTGAATTATTATTTTTTTCATCATTCAGCACAGTCAATCAGATGTACAATCAAACAACATGGTTTCTTTCCCAATCAGAAAACTTTCCCAGACAACGCTTTACCAAACAGAAACTATCAAACGGGACCTTAGTCCTTAGCATAGTTGCACGTGTGCCCTACTGTTTAGCTTTTCTTGTTACTCCTTTCATTTTATATATATATATATATATATATATATCACTATGTTTGCCAAAGGATAGATCGATATACACAATTGTTTTTCTCTCTGTTGTTCTTTATGGTATCAGAGTCCTAATTTTTTTCCCCTTTTCTTCTACCTGTTATTTGCAGACTACCATGGCTACTCCACCTACCGGTCAACAACTTCTTTCTGCAGCCAACATCGCCTCTACAAATCTTAATTTCCAGATTCCTTCCACTAGCATCAAGCTTGACAGGGAAAATTACTCTCTATGGCGCACCACTATCATTTCTGTGCTTGAAACCTTTGATTTAGAATCATTTATTCTCAATCCTATGCCGCATCCGGCAACACTTTCCACCATCGAGGAATCTTGGTACAAGCACTACCACTCCGAATCTAGAGTTCACTACATGGAAGAATAGGGGTCGTTTTGTTCTACTTTGGATTAAATCCACTTTATCGAAACATTGTCTTTCCACAGTTGCCTGATCCTTCTCTTCACAGTATGTTTAGCAAGCCCTAGAACGTACTTTCCAGGCCCAAACTCACACTCGGCGTATGGCAATGAAGACTCAACTGCAGACTATCTCAAAGGGTGCTCTCTCCATGCTAGAGTATATAGAGCGCAAGCGTTCTATTGCCGATTCTCTGGCAGAAGATCTCACTCTTGTGTCTGACGAAGATCTCATCAATTATATTCTCAACAGACTTGATGCTTCTTATGGTACCTTCACATATGCCTTTCTGATAGAGTCTGATAATGCTACTATTGATGATCTGGTGGGACATCTACTTCAGGAAGTGGCTCGATTGGAACTCGAAACTGCTCGTCAGGCATCACTGCAAGTTCCTCCTGTCTCCATGCCTTCTCTACAAGCAAATGCTGCTTCTCGATCCCAACACTGGTCCATTCCACATTCTCGCTCTTCTGGAAATTCATCTACCAACTACAAAGTGATGGGTTTTAGCCATAAGAACATCCTATGCGCTCATGCAAACCTTAATGCTTGGATCTAGGTTTCTCTATTTTACATGCATTCATCCAAGACTTTAAACCCTAGATCTAGCATATGATAATCGATATTAATATATGAATTAGGGTTTAGATCATACCTTGATTGTTATGTAGCAATAACAATCTCAAATCCTCCTTGTAATGGCTTAAGAAAGCTTAGAGTCACAAGTGTCACTCCTCTAATGACTCACAAACACCATGAGCAAGAGGATGAAGAATGAGAAGAGAGGAGGCACCAAAAACATGTGGAAACCCTAAGGAAACTCTTAGCCACGTTTTTGGTGCTCTAGGGATCCTTAAATAGTGAGGGTATTAGAGTTATCTAACAAGGAAACCCTAATTTGACAACTTAGGCCCTAAGCAACCCATGGACTACCTCCTTAGAGGCCTAGAGCGATTTCTAATGGGTTTCCCCATAGAAATCATCCACCCCTCTAATATGGAGTCCATTAGCCTAATATTCAATTATCATATAATTAATAGTTATAGTCCCTTAAGTTTAATTAATGTCTTTTAGCCACAAAATTAATGCTTAATTAATTATTGACTAATATTAATTAAACAATATGATTTCTCCTTTAATATATTATTCTCATAATATATTAATAAATCATAATTAATCCTCTGTCTCTCTCCATAATTCATCCTATCAAGTTGCTTTGGTGAATGCAACCCAAAAGGACCATGCACCATCGGGTCAAGTACATACCAAAATAGTTATGGACTTAGACACTAATCCAACACAAAGTTCCTACTCAACAATGTGATCAATGCTACAGACAAGTTCAGTGTCAAATTTGTAACAAGGAAGGTCATGAAGCCATAGATTGTTGGCAGTAGGGCAATCAAGCCGATTATCCATCCAGACATCTGAATCCTAAAGACCCGACCAAGAAAGCTTACAGAACAAGTTGTAGCAGTCCTTCTGCTATAATAGACCCAAACTGGTACTTTGATATAGGTGCAACGGACCATGTGTCACCTGACCTTAACAAGCTCCAGGTTTCTGATCCTTACACAGGTGAGGAAAAACTTCAAGTCGGGATTGGTAACCAACTCTCAATTTCACATTATGGCTCATCTTCTC